TAACTAAACTACCAGCCAAGGTAGAAACTCGCCCAGCAAACATAGTAACATTCATAGTTCCTTTATAACATTTGCAAATCCATATCGTGTTCCATCCTAAAAACACAACTAGAGAGCCTGGAGGTACAAGCCTTTAATCTTCTGAGGCAGAGGCTCTGAGTTCAAGCTAACCTGGTCTAGAGTCAGGATAGCAAGGGATATATCGTGGGGCCGTGTCTTTAAAAAACACAAAACAAAACAAAATCAAAAACAACAATAAAATTGAGAGACCCACCCCCAACCCCTGCAGTGAGAAGCCCGTCCCAGCCTTCCAAGTGCTGAGGTTACAAGTGTAACCAACCACACCCAACTACCCTCGGCACAGGCGTGCTTTTACCACCATGTAACTAGCAGTTCCCTCTTATCCACACTTCTTACGCACAGGCCTTACCTAGTGAAACTAATTCTAGGGCTGCAGGATTGAAGTTCCCATGCCTAAACACACAATCCACCTTCCAATGGACTCAGATTTTACCTTGACCTTTATATTTTACTCCAACACTCTTCATCCTTCAAGAATCAAAGAAAAGTCCAACTCACCCATGTTGTAAACCCCAGCCTTATAAACTCCCCTGTAAGTCAGGCAGACCTTGAACTTACAATCCTCCTGTTTTAACCTAAACAGTTACAGGTGTGCAATGCCTAGCCAAAACCTGGGTGAATATTTATGTAATGCCAAGACAAGCGAAGCAAGGGTTCAAGGTCCTGTGTTGACTCCAGTGGCTTATGATTCTAAGCCTAGCACTGAGAGGGATAGACAGGCTGATTGTGAGGATCCTGAGTTCAAAGCCAGGCTGAGCTGCATAGCCAGACCCTGCCTCCAACACCCTGTCTCCCCTAGAGCCGGGCGGTCGTGACTCACAACTGAACCTCAGCACTGGGAAGGCGGGGAGAGAGAAAGGAGTGCCTGTCATACTCAGGGAACTCTAGGCCGGCCAGGCTACAGCATATAAACCTGCCACACCCCCAACCCCTCAAAACACATGAATACAATTTGTAAGTCCACACAAACTCACCACCACCACCACTAACAACAAAAGCCAACTTTTTTCTCTTGTATGCTGCAAACGGAACCCAGGACCTTATACAGCACTGTCCCCAACCAAGCTCCACCTCCTGCTGTTTCCCTTACCACACAGACCGGAGGGTGTGAAAGCAACCCATTACATTCTTGTTTGTCTGCGAGGGAAAAGTCCGCTCACCCCATCCTCCAACCGGCAGTAGTATGCAGACCGGCAGTAGTATGCAGACCGACAAGAGGAGTGCATTAAAGACACAGTGGCCAATTTAAAGAAGAGGCAACCAACAGCTAAGAAAACCCAAAGTCCACAGTGGAGGGCGGGAGAGCTGGCTTAGCAGTTAAGAGCACTTGTTCTTTCAGAAGTCCCAGGATCGAGTCCCAGAACCCACATGATGGCTCACACCATCCCTAATTAATTCCAGAGGAATCCAAATGTCCTCTTCTGACCTCCATGGGCACCAGGAACTCACGTGGTACACACAGAGAAACAAATGCTCCTACACATAAAAAATAAATCTCAAAAAAAAAAAAAAAAAAAAGGAATCCAGAAAAGAAAACTCCATAATGACAGGCTGGGGAGATGTGGATCATTTCCTGCATAACCATTAGGACCGGAGTCATATTTGGACCCCAGCACATACATAACCTAGGTGTCCCACAAATGCCTGTAACTCTAGCTCTGAGGGATCTGATGTACTCTTCTGGTCTACAGGTGTACACAGGTGTGCACCCACATGCATACATTCACACACACAATAAGTAAAATAAATACTTTTTAAATGCATGGTTGAATGAGAATAGTCAGTCCAAGTATTTCTGAGAATATCCCAGAGAGGAAATGAAATTTTCCCAAATGAGGGTAAGATATATCCTAGGTGGGTTGTACTCACAGAGTTATGATGTAAGTCTTAATTCTCTACACGTGCACACACAATTAGGCACGTTAACGACCTAGAGCTTCACATATGCTATGCAACCGCTGTACTACAGAGCTCTACATCCCCCACCCATCCCCGCACCACCCTGGACTTAGTACTTTACTCTGAGACATGGTTTTGCTAAGTTGCTCAGGCTGACCATGAACTTACTGTAGCTTTCTTTGAGCTAGTGATCTTCTGCTTAAAAAAAAAAACAAAAAACAAAAAACAAAAAAACAAAAACAAAAAAACTACATGGGGATTCTTTTAAGTTTTGTTGTTGTTGTTTTGTTTTTTTAAAATGTGTATGCATGTAGGTAAGTGTAATGCATGTGTGCCTCATACCCACAGAGGCCCAAAGAGGGCACTGGGTCCCCTGAACTTGGAGTTAAGGGTTGGTTGTAAGGAACCATGTGGGTGCTGGGAAGAAAACCCAGATCCCCTGCAAGAGCAGCAAGTGTTCTTAACCACTGAGCCATTTCTCCAGACTTAAAAAGATTTATTTTTATTTATGTGTACACATGTAAGCTGTGTGTATGTACATATGCATACGGGTGCCCTTGGAAGTCAGAAAAAATATAGGATCTCTCGGAGCTGGAGTTACAGACAGTTGTGAGCAGCCTGACATGGTGCTGGGAACTACCTTGGGACTTCTTCAAGAGCAGCAAGTGCTCTCAAATTGCTGAGCTAACTCTCCAGCTCCGTGATCCCTCTGCTTTAAGCCTGCAAGTGGCTGGGGTTACAGACCTGCACCACCAAGTCTGGCTCTTCTTATAGTCTATAGTGAAAAACCATTATAGCTGGGCATAGGGACATACCTGTATCCCATCCCGTATGCAGAAGCGCCAGGCGTTGACGGCTACCGTTGGCTATGTGAACTCAAGGCTCCTGTTCCAAATAACTAACGTACCAACTCAAAACAGTACAGCAAACTAGAGCATGCCAAATGATACACAGCAGACAGCACTTGAAACTGTAGGAAGCTGTACAGAGAAAGTTTCACCTGCTATTCCCAAGCCATGTATAATCGCTAAAGAACATTTAACAATGAATCAGAAAACAAAAAACAAAAAGGCCAGAGGCGTACTTCAGCCTTGTGACTGCCTAGCACACAAAAAGCCCTGGGTTTCATCTCCAAGCATGAAGACAATGTCCTCCTGACAGAACAGGATGATGGAGCTTGGTGGCTAAGAGCATTGGCTGCTCTTTCACAGACCCCATCCAGGTCCGATTCCCAGTGGCTCATAACAGTCTGTACCTCCAGTTCCAGAGGCTCTGACATGCTCTTCTAGCCTCTGTGCATGCATCGTGATTGTGGTGCAGGCACACATGAAGGCAAAAACACGCGGACACTTAAAATTAAATGATTTTAAATTGTTCCAAAAATGTGAAAATACACCAGTAACCAAAAAGGGCTGGGGATAAACCTCAGGGGAAAGTGTATGTGCAGGCATGTCTGGGTCCGCAGCATCAGGCGGACGTCTGAGGACAACTTAGGGGAATCCGTTCTTTCTTTCTACCATGTGGGTCCTGGCCATGGAACTAAGACCATCTGACCAGTCCAAAATTCCATCAATTCCTACTCTAGGAACTGAAAAGCCCTCTTGGTTTCCAGAGAGGAAATACAATTTTGTTTCTTCTCTGTCCTTTGATTAATCTTTTAACTCTGAGTTTTATGCTGTCACATGTAAACTGTTTTCTCAGCATACTGACTGTGCAACAAATAAGTACCTCAAATTTATTTCTTTCAAAATAGAACTCAAGATCCCCCATCTCAATAAATGGTATGATTACCTTATTATCTCAATAAAAGGTATAGTTATCTATCTCTTCCGTTGCTCAAAACAGCAATTAAAAAAAGCAATGCAGGGCACGTTGGCAAAAGTCTATAATCCTAGCACTCCAGAGCTGGGGCAGAACGATCCAGAGTTCAAGGCCAACCTGGGCTACATATTGAGTTTGAAGTCTGCCTGAGCTACAGAAGACCCTATTTCAAAACAAAAGCAAAATACCAAACACACACACACACACACACACACACACACACACACACACACACACACACACGCACACACGCACACACGCACACGCACACACCCTAAAAAGAAAAGACAAATCAAAATGCAGCCCTCAGCATGTGGTGCCTGCAAGACCAGGCTCTTAGCAGTTGAGAAGGCTAAAGAAAAGAGTTCAAGGCCAACCTGGGGCACATGGGACCTCCCCCTTCCCCTTACCAATCCATTTCCAAGTCTTGCTAACTCTCTCTCCAAAATACCTTCTTATCTTTTCACACTGTCCACTTCCACTGCCAAGGACCCAGTCCAGGCTACCACGGGCAGCTGCATCCTTGACTCCCCGCTAGCTGGATTACGTTACTATCTTCCAAAACCTTTACACAAGCTTCCCATAAAAAGTAAAAATCAGCGGGGTGTGGTGGTGCAAGCCTTTAGTCCCAGTACTAAGGAGGCAGAGGCAAGTGACTCTCTGAGTTCAAAGACAGCCTGGTCTACAGAGCGAGTTCCGGGACAGCCAGGACTACACAGAGAAAACCCTGTCTCAAACCAACAACAAAAAGTACAACAGTTAAGGCACCCACGCCCTCACCTGTTCTGTTTTGGTCCTACCTTTAAGCCTACACAAACAAATATATACACCCATAGTAATTATTTCTGGACATTGAAACTTTCTTCTTTTTCCCCTGTCTTCATTTTTAAATTTTTTCTAGGATGAATACTTGCTACGTTTTAAGGGCAACGATACTGCTGAATATATGTAGAATTACGTTATATTTTACGTTAATGAGAAAATGGAACTTTAAAAGTGGGTTACTTCAGTAATTAAGAAGTGTGCCTAGATGAAAATACTAACAAGATCAAAACCAGTTAAGATGTGAGCGAGCTGCAGACAGGACATAGCATTTTTCTGTTTAACATAAATACATGCATAATGGAGATGAGCTCCAAGCCTTATTGTCTTCTGCAATCTGGCTACAGCCCACCGAGCCGTCCCCGTCGAGTCCTCACTTTCCGAAGCTTCCACCGCGACCCAGCCCCGTCGCACGCCCTCGGGCAGACGCCTCTCAGACCTCCCGCAGCCACGCACGGCGGATTTCTTCGGGCAAATCCAAACTTGCCGAGGCGACCTCGTCTCAGGACCACCCGCAGGTCACCGCGCAGGCTCAGCCGCCGCGGCTGCACGGGAGCCCCGTTCTGAGGCTGCGCGGCGGGAAGGACCCTCCCCACGCCGGACCTCGCACCCCCGCGGACCCCGGGGGCGCCCAGCCGCCCGCGCGCGCCGAAGCGGGGTCGTCCGCGCTCCCGCGGTGGGGGGGAGGGGCGCACGTGCCCGCGCCAGACAATGCCCCGCACGCGGCGGGACGCGCGCCCGCGCCGACACTCACCCTTCCTGGTGCGTCCGGCTGCAGCGCGACCCCGCGGGGGAACCCGGAACCCCCACGCGGGGGGAAGGCGCGAAGGGTCTGAGCTCGTGGAGCCGCCGCGCGAGGCCCAGGAGCCGCCCGCGCGGAAGCTCACGACACTGCAGCCCGTCCGCCCGCCCGCCCGCCGGCCGCGCGGCTCCGCCCCGCACGTCAGCTCGGGGGGCGGCGCGGCACGGCGCGGGCGCGCGCGGCGGGGGGCGGGGCCCGGGCCGGCGCGGCCCCGGCGGGCGGCAGGAGCTGCCCCTGAACTCTGACCCCGGGCTACGTCGCACCCCGAGGGGATCGACACCCCACCCCCCACCCCTCACCCCATCCCTGGTCGTGAGCTCGTCCTCCGCGGTCTCCACGCTGAAAGTTTGGGAGACGACGGGTTCTCTCGTAGTCATGGCAATAGTAACTATGGTGACCGTAAGGCCCCCCGCGTGGTACCATCTTGCCTCCGCTGGGCTAAGGGACAAGGGTGTGCGTAGCAGCAGGAGCCTGGATGGTGGGGGGTGCGTGGAGTCTGGGGGCTGCGGCAGGAGCATCGCAACTGCAAAGCCGGCCTAGCGACACGGTGAATGCAAGGCCCGGTCTCCAAGTGAAAATTGCTCAGGGAAATGCCGTGGGTCCAGCACCATAAAACAGAGAGACAGAGACAGAGAGGAAGGAGAGAGAGCGAGCGAGGAGAGAGAGAGGAGAAAGAGAGCGAGGAGAGAGACAGGGAGACAGAGGAGAGGAGAGAGAGGGAGGAGAGAAAGTGAGGAGAGAGACAGTGAGGAGAGAGAGAGAGAGGGAGAGCGAGGAGGGAGAGATTGAGGAGAGAGAGAGCGGAGAGTTTGAGAGAGAGAAGCAGAGACAGGAGGAAGGAATTAATCATTAGGAACCCATTTTACTAGATGGCAAAAACTGGGGGTGTGGTGCCTCTCCAGATACTGGGTAGGCTGAAATCCACAAGGAAAGGAAACCAATGAGGAGGGAAGGTTTGTAAATGTTGAAAACTTAATGTGGACCGCAGCGAATGAGTGAAAGCCATCGGCCTGGGCTTTCCCTGTAAAGCCGCTTGGGAGTGGCCATCTTCTCCTGAGCCACCCACCCAAACCTTCCTGTTACTTCTTCCTCACTGATATGTACATATTTGCCACATGAGCTGGGTACTGAGTTGTATTATATTTTACGTATATGTTGTCAATCTTTTTATTCATTTTATGTTTAATATGAAATATTTTAAGAATTATTCCTATATCCCTAGTAACAAGCCTAGTCATGGGCCAGGGTCCAGACCTACACCTTTGATCCCAGCATTTGGGAGGCAGAGGCAGGTGGATCTCTTGAGTTCAAGGCCAGCCTGGTCTACATAATGAGTTCCAGGATAGCCAGAGCTAAATAATGACACCTGTCTTAAAAGAAGTCCACTCATGACACATAGTATAAACTCAAAAACTGTGAATGCGTGGCAGTTGTGGCACTTAACTTTAACCCCAGCACTTGGGAGGCAGAGGCAGGTGGATCTGTGAGTTCGAAGCCAGCCTGGTTCCAGGACAGCCAGGACTGTTACATACTGAAACCCTGGCTTGAAAAAACAAACAAAACACAAACAAACTGTGAACAGTGACAAAAAAATTAGAGACATTTTATCTTACCCTGACCTCCACAGGGTTTCTCTGTGTAGCTTTGCTCCTCTCCTGGAACTCACTTGGTAGCCCAGGCTGGCCTGGAACTCACAGAGATCCGCCTGGCTCTGCCTCCCGAGTGCTGGGATTAAAGGCGTGCGCCACCACCGCCCGGCCTCTGACCTCCTGATTTTAAAATTTATCAAGAGTGAAATTAGATTAACTGTTTTCTCAAGAATGTTTATTGCTTTTCTACTGTTCTGAAACTCTGTTCCAGGCATGTGAATTGTGCACTGAGGATACAGACATACACATTAGCCCTGATAAAATTTACACCCTAATAAGTATTATTTTATTCTTTGAGACAGGATCTTGATTTGTAGCCAGGTTGGCCTTGAGCTCACACTCAGCTCACACTCATGCTGTCTAGCCCCCCAAATGCTAGGGTTATAAGCACATGCAGCAGCCTCAGCAGAATTATCATTTGACAGGGAAACTGGATCTAATCTAAATTTAGACCAAGAAATGCTTCCTTGAGCGTGAAATGAACAGGCATTTGGAAGATTAAAAATTAAGTTCATGGAGTAGGTGTATGCAACTGAATGCATGTGTGAGGTCCTAGGTTTAATCCTCAGCACCATGACATCAATTAATTTCATGAAATTTGAATGAGAATGGCTCCCATTGGCTCATATTGGAATGCTTGGTCACTACTTGGTGGAACTGTTCTGGAAAGGACTAGGAGGTGTGGCCTTGTTTGAAGGAGGTGTGTCACTGAGTGTGGGCTTTGAGGTTTCAAAAAGCCCAGGCCAGAAGTCCCTTTCTCTCTGCCTCCAACTTTTGAATAAGATGTAAGCTCTCAGCTACTGCTGCAGTGCCAGTCTGCCCTGCTTTTTGCTTTGCTTCTCGACGTGATGGTCATGGACTTACCCTCTGAAACTATAAGCAAGTACATAATTTTTTTGTTTTGTTTTGTTTTCTGTTTTTAGCTGAGGACTGAACCCAGGACCTTGTGCTTGCTAGGCAAGCACTCTGCCACTGAGCTAAATCCCCAACCCTGCAAGCCCATAATTAAATGCTTTCTTCTATAAGTTGCCTTGGTCATGGTGTCTCTTCACAGCAATAGAACAGTGACTGAGACATGGAGAAAAAGGTTAAGGTAAGGCCAAGATGAGTATGTTGGAGTTAATCACACTTTGGTCAAACTCCAAGGCAAGCACATAGAAATCTCTAAGTGCCTGGGAAGCTAAAAGCCCACCTCCATTGGTCTAGTTGGAAAGCTGCCTAGTACAGAAGTCCCAGCAGTGATTGGGAGAGCAGGGAGTCTGTGATGGAGCTGCTGCTCTTGATTGCTTGCAGATGGCACGTCAGAAACCCAGATTTTGGAGAGAATGTGGTAGTGCACGCCTGTAAGCCCAGCACTTGGAAGGCAGAGGCAGTAGGATCAGGATTCAAGATAATCCTCAGATACATGGTGGTCTGAGGACTCAAACAACAAGAGGCATCCATATTTTTTCTGAAAAGAGCATTGTGTGGCCCTTCTCCCTGCCTTCTGGCTCTTACATTCTTCTGTGATGCTACCTGAGCTGTAGAGGGAGTGGTCTGAATGTCCTCTTTGGACTGAGTGCTCGGTCCCCACTTCCCTCTCAGCACCTGGGACAGCCATGATTCTGTGTTCCTCACTGTTCACTGCAAGACAAGTCTCTCTGATTAAGCCTGTGTCATTTGTCTGTGAGTTCAAACACGGATGTTTGAAGGCCGTTTGGTGCCGTGTCAGTTCAGCTGCACAACAGGAAGTCCCCCTAGGGCTCACATCTTCTCCAGCCATGGTTTTTTGACTGGCTTTACAGTACCAGGTACGTTTCCTTCTGCCAATCCAAAAACATTTGGCTACCCCCTGTAATGGCAAACCTTGATTGTCAACTTGACCATATCTGGAATCAACTGAAACCCAAGCAGCTGGCCACCCAGATGAAGGATTTTCTTAGTTGGATTATTTGAGGTGGGAAGACCCACCCTAAATCTGGGCTGCACCCGGTGGCAGACCATATAAAAGGACACGGAAGAAGGAAGCTTTTGTCTTTTGCTGCTTGCCCTTACTTTCACTGACAAGTTTACCTGTCCTGTTACTGAGGCATTCCTTCACTGGTATTCGAACCTACTTCTTTGAGATTCTAACGTAGTCTAAAGGCCCTCAGCTCTTTAAGAATTCTTTGGTACTTCAGCACCAGATTGGGACTGCTGAAATATCCATTCCTGGGGACTGAATAACCACCAGATTCTTGGCCTTTGTGCTGGGAGACAGCCATTGTGGAGATACCCAGACCACAGCTTATAAGCCACTCTATTGAATCTCTTACACACACACACACACACACACCCCTCAGTTCTGTTCCTTTATCAAACCCTGGCTAATATACTCCTGTGACAATCATGCCACTCTTGCTCCAGTAGGCACATCTTTCCTGGCAGGTTGGTAGTATGAGTCCTAAGGTTCATAGACATGTAAGGTCATCAGTACCTTTTTCTCCCAGTGTCCTGCATAGCACATTCCAGCACTATGAAAATTGGCCAGCAGGGAGGAAACTTTCAGCTCAGTTAAAAACCTTGATTTCTCTATATCTAGTATCCAAAGTGTGTAGTATATTCAGCAATAGGATCTGAGTGGTAGTGGTGCACACCTTTAATCCCAGCTCTTGGGAGGCAGAGGCAGGCAGATCTCTACGAGTTCGAGGCCAGCCTGGTCTACAGAGTGAGTTCCAGGACAGCCAGAACTACATAGAGAAACCCTGTCTTGAAACAAAACAAAACAAAACAAAAAACCCTTTCACTCCAAGAATTTACCCCATCTCTGCTTACATATCACTTATGCTCTACTAGCTCTCTAACTCCCCTGGAATGAGCCCATTTCAGTGTTCTGGCCTCTACATGTACCCCAAGTTAAACATACAAATCTAAAGATCAAAGCCAAATTCACATGTTTTTTTTTTTTTTTTTTTTTTGGTTTTTCGAGACAGGGTTTCTCTGTGTAGCTTTGCGCCTTTCCTGGAACTCGCTTTGGAGACCAGGCTGGCCTCGAACTCACAGAGATCCGCCTGGCTCTGCCTCCCGAGTGCTGGGATTAAAGGCGTGCGCCACCACCGCCCGGCTCCCAAATTCACATGTAAGAGAGAACACACAGTATCTGTCTTTTGGGATCTGAGTT